TCGCCGACACTACGTGGGACGAGGACATACTGCAGAACACCGGAGGCAGCAAGTGGAGGCGTTCATACTTTCACAGGCACTAACGTTGGCGAACCAGCCTGACCAGCCCTATACCTTCTCTGGGCCAGGTGGAGAGTCTAATGTGGACCTCACATTATCGACTGGGGACATATACCTTGTCGAGTGGCGAGTGCATGAGAGAATCTGCGCCAGCGACCATAATTTAATTACATACACGGCCACTACCAGCAGGCCGACCACTTGAACTGCACCCGTCAGGGATCTCCCACGTTTTCGTGACCGGGGGGTGGATTGGGACAGGTTCCGGGCGATCATCAAATTAAGAATGGGATGGTTGCATGTGGACAAACCCGCGGCCCTCCTGGCGGAGGAGTTCTCAGGGGTCATCATCCGTTCCGCGGAGGAAGGCCTAGGGGAGCGTCGCCCTAGGGGTTCCGCGGGGTATGAATGGTGGAATTCTGAACTGGATAAAACTCGGAAGCTGCAATGCAAGCTCAGGCGTGTATGGCAGAGTAAAAGGCGTCTGGGAGGTAGATCAGAGGAGATAGCCAGAATGGCTTTTCATAGCGTGCGTGCGAGATATAGAAAGATGATGGTGGAGGTGCAGCAGTCGCATCACACGAGGGTCGCCAATACTGGCAATGAGGACCCTTGGGGCCTGGCATACAGGTTGGCCAGCGGGAGGGTGCGTCCGCCTGCGAATGTGATCAATGGGATTGCATTCGCGGGTGGGCACCCAGATAGTCTGGGAGCTGCAATGAACAGCTTGATGACTGCGCTCTGTCCGGATGACGACCCTGGCTGTGACAAGCCTTACCACCGGCAGGTTCGAATGCTGGCGGCGTTTATGCCCTCTGGTAGAGCTGCACCTCCACTTGCGGTTGAGGACCTGGGAGGCATAGTCAGGGCCTTGCCCAACACGGCTCCGGGTCTCGATGGAGTGAGTCCGAGAATCGTGAGGAATGTTTGGATAACTGCACCGAGGGAATTCCACTCGGTGTATGCCAAGTGTGGTAATAGAGGGGGTTTTCCCCCAGGTATGGAAGGACGGTAGATTGATTGTCATTCCCAAGGGTAATGACAAGCCACTCACTGACGCCAAGGCGTATCGTCCTATAACGCTCCTGCCTGTTTTGGGAAAGTTACTTGAACGTGTACTTCTAAGGTGTGCTCCTGTGATTAGTCACGGGATATCCGAGCACCAGCACGGATTTTCTCCGGGGCGATCTACGGTAACAGCGGTGCGAGTATTGCTCAGCACGGCAAAGTATTCTCGGGCATGCTACGTGCAAGCTATCTTTTTGGATATTTCCGGTGCCTTCGACAATGCCTGGTGGCCGATGATGATGGTCAAAGCTAAGAGGGGTAGATGTCCACCTAACATTTATAAAATGTTGGTGGACTACTTCACCTCAAGGCGTGTGGGCCTCTATATAGGGGACCGGGTGGAGTGGAAGACCTCGACCATGGGATGTCCTCAAGGCTCCGTGCTGGGCCCAACACTGTGGAACGTGCTGATGGATGATTTGCTTCGACTCCCTCTGCCTGAGGGAGTTGCCATGACTGCCTATGCAGATGATGTCACACCACAGGCCCCTCCGCCTACTCTGTACTCCGCTGGCCTTCCCGCAGCAGAGCAATGGCTGCAGTTGAACGCCGCGGTGCACAGGGCCGCCTTGTGGCCAGGCTGGCCGCAGCGATAACAGAGGTCACTACGGTCAACCTCGGCGGTGCACTTCGCCCGGACGTGCCCTTTTTCCAGGCACGGGAAACACTGCAAGGCCCGGGGCTGTAGTAGCTTCGTCCTTGCCGCCACCCAGCCTACCAGCAATCTGCCGCTATCGGCGATCTTCTTTGCCGACGCTACAGGGCACCGAACCCAGACCGCGCCAAGTCCGGTGGCATCGGTGCGTATATCGCCGGCCCGCACCTTGTCCGGCGGACACTCTCCGCTTCTGGCAACGGCCGCCACCACCTCCTCAGATGTCACGGAGTCGTCCAGGCCAGCAATCCGCACTTCTGCGGTTTTCATTGGTCTGGAGACCCGGACGTCCTCAGGGTTGAGGACCTTTCTCATCTTGGCGGCCAATGCGTCCGCCTTTTCGGCACTGTCGCTCACAGTGCCAGCCACCTCGAACAGCCGCACACCCGTGGCAGCCTGCCTGAGGGTGACGGACTGAAGGCCAAGATCTGATAATTTGATCTTGGCCTTGGCCTCAGCGATGACCGACTGGTACGTCACGCCACGCTCCACAGCTCCGGGCTGCAATGTTAGTGTCACCGCATTGGACCGCGGAACACGTACAGCCGGTTTCTTGCGACCGCCTTTGGCAGTTCGCCGCGCAGGTTGAGGAGCCGTCTTTGCGGTTCCATCTGGGGCGTGTGCAGCTGCTGCGGCCTTCTTGGCGGCTTTGCGGGCTTTCTTGCGGCCCACGACTTTCGCCCATGTCTCACCCTTAGACCCGGCTGTCGTGAGCTGGTCGCTCAGAGGAGCTCCCTCCGCGGGCTTTTTTTACCCTCCGTGGGCTTCCCCTTTTGAGGCGCAATTCTCGGCGGCTCCTCAGTCCTCCGCGTGTCAGCCGCCAAAGGCGGACGTAGGATTTCCGCCGGGAGACGCTGAGAAATCGCCTCCAGCCGAGCGTTAACCATGCTCCCGCACTGGAGCATGCAGAGCCGGACAATGCACTCGGCCCCTTCGTCGGTACGAGGGCTTGTCGGTCGCGGTGCGGGAGTCGGGGCCACTACGGATGCGGCATCGGTGGATGTGCATCTCTGCTGCTGCTCGCTCAGTGCTGCGACTTGCTGCCGGAGGTCTTGTAGGTCATTTCTGAGGCGGCTGTTTTCCTCCTGTAGCTTTGCGACCTCGTCAGAGGCCGTCCTGTTGAGGAGAATGCCAACCGCCTCCCTGATATCCGCGGCAGCCTCCTTTAAGCCACGGGTGAACGTGCCCTTCAGGCTGCCGGACTTGGTGGCAACTTTCAGGACTAAGTCCACCCCATCCAGAGCCAGCTGGCTCAAGGCCACCGCAGATGGCTGTCCTTTTTCCGCCGCCAGAGCAGCTCGTTGTTCGCGAGCCCGTCAGGCCATTTCAGACACTTCGTCTGCTGCGACAGCTTTGCGCTGTTCCCTCTTGGCGGCGTTGAGCTCCGCCTTTGAACTCCCCAGCGAGGCACAGCTTTCACCGCCATCGCCAAGGTCCTCCGTAGTGACCCCCATGTCACTCTCTGCTTCACTAGCCGCCGAGGTATTGGAGCACACGAATCGTCCGTGCTTATCCCTTCGCGGCTGCGAAGCACTCACCCCTCTCGATGCCCGCCGATCCCTCCTCGAAGTCGCCAACTTGGGGGCTGGCAGGCCTTCCTCGTCCGAAGACTGGCACACTGGACGTTTCCTGGCGGAAGACGTCCCACGCGATCTGTCCACGTCTGATCCATCCTGTTTTCCTATGTTTACATTTTTCAAAGGTTTATCCATTTGTTCCCACGAGTGTGGAGGAAGTAACGGTCCATCCGAGCAGAGCCCCCTTTGCCCGGATAAGCCTATGCATAACCCGTCAAGGGTGTCGGCCGCTACCCTGACGGGGGGCAACGCTAACGACTGAACATTTACCCATCAGCCATGCAGCTCCTCACGGCGTGCCACGCTTGAGCTTCGGGTGATTTTTATAGAGTTATCATCCTCGTGACTCCAGGTGGTTAAGCCAAGAGCCATCGGCCCCTCAGGCGCCGCGAGACATGATCCACGACACGCCAAAGGGATTCCGAGGTTCGAACGGTGGCAGAGTCGATACGGGTTCTTCCCATGCCTGCCCAGAGACCGGGTGAGGGAACTCTGAGCCCATTCAATTCCCGCGACGACGGGTTGCCCGGCGTCGGCAAAAGCCGAGTGCACCTGGTATCTCACCGCGCATGTCACATCCTCTGTTCCTCTCAGTGGAGAGGATACCGGAAGCAACTAGCAGGTACTTGATTCCATTCGGAACCAGAGGTACGCCCAAACCCAGCCAGTTTTGGTCCGCGACGGTTTCCCGCTACCACTCATATCTGAGTGGCATTCCCCTATCCGCCACCTGGGGACGCGCCCGATTGGAGGACTGGCAACTCCACACGGGACTAACCTAACCTAACCTAACTAACAGTACACATCGGAAAGTGACATATTCAACATAAGCTCCACGGAGAAATTGCTTAAAAAATAGCAACTTTTGAGCTACGCGAGTGGAAGTGCTGTGAAAAAGTTTTTGAGTGTGCAGTTCATCAGTGTAATTGGGGAAAACTCGTAAAAGCTGGTTTTGGAGCAGTAGCCTCTTAACTTTGGGGATAAATAGTGTCGACACCATCAGCAAAATTGCCAAGTACATATCAGTATTTGAGAGCAGCTATAGAGATCAGTAAAACGGCGGAAAAATCTCTTTCACCCTTCCTACCCTCCTAACCCCTACAATCTTTAATTTTTATACCAGATATACGCTCCTTACGAATTCCCCCCCCTACTACCTACGCCCCCTCATTTTTTATTATACCATATATAAGCTTCCCGTGAATTCCCCCCCCCATCCCCCCCCCCTCGAGGCTTACCTCTCCCCCGCGAGCCATAACTAGTTTACCAGAATAGCTAGATCCCCCGTGTAAGGGCTCATTTGAATCAGGAAAAAGAGCTCTAACTTCTGGCCCCTACAGAATTTTTATTTCCACCATAGTCCGATACCAACCCGGGCAATAACACCTCAAGCATACTCCAGGACTCACAGCATACCAACCGGAGATCCCACAACGAGCTCTTTCTTCGCGTCCATCGTACCCCTCACTGCAATTCAACTATCGAAGAACACCAGCAGTGAGTTCACAAAAAAAAATTATAATAAATATCATTAAATATTATAAAAATATATATAATATTTGTATAATAGTTTATAAGGCATTACCTATATTTATAGATAAGGCAACTTACAATTAGAGAATCTTTTAATTTTTGTAATAATGTCAGGAAATAAAGTAATCTTGTCGGATGTGGAGACCGCTTCTTCAAACAAGTCTTCCCAAAACCTTTCTGTTGCTCCACCTAGACCTCCACGATCGCTGCGGGAAAAAGTACTTACAAAATCCAGTTTAACAAAAGCAACACCTAGCGAGAAGTTGTCGCAGCCATCATCTCATCCTGCAACAGGAAAACGTCCAGCGGACTCTGCTCCGACGGACGCATCTATAACAAGCAAAAATGCCTCTTCGCACACCCCCACTCTGCGAACTAAAATGTCGCTAACTTCAGTTAAAAGCGACAGCTCGATCCGATCCTCCGTCTGTGACCCGGTAGATGCGGCTATCGACAAAGTAGCAAACTGGAAGCAGGAAGAAATTCCTCCACTTCCAGTTTTATCCGACGAAGAACTTTCGATCATATCTGCGCCGGAATCACCACTATCGGAGGCACCGGAAAAAGGAAGACCCAGCCTGCTTTTTAACTCCAACAGGCGACTGGGGGTGGAAATGGATATGGCAACAAAAGAAGCGAACGAAATGCTTCTGAGAGGGAAGGAAGCGCTAGAAATGGCAGGGAATATGAAGAAGGAGTGTAAGTTAACAGCTTTAGAGAGTCTGCAGTCCCTCTACGAGATGGTCCTGGCGCTGTCAGATTCCAGATCTAGACATAAGCATAACCTAGAAAGGGAACGGTCACGCAACGCTCAAGAACTAATGCGAGTGGAGCGCTCCCATAACAAGATCATCACCCAGCTTATGAAGGAAATGGCTTCCGAGCTAGGCCATGCCAGGACAGATATAAAAAATACTCTCCAGGAATCCAAGGCGATACGGGGCTGGTTGAACTTTGAAACCCAAGAGCCCTTCCGCCGAGCGACCTACTCAAAGCTGTGACAGACTTAGACAAGCGCATAGGTGTGATCCAGTCGAACTTGAGTCAGCAGAAGCAAGAAGGTGCAGACAACATCTTATCTCACCTAAGAGTGGACCTTACTGGAGTAAAATCTAGTGTGGAAACACTCAAACTTCAATTGGACGAAATGCGCAGAGTCATCGAAAAGTCCGAAAACAAATCTAAAAAGTTTCCAAAATGGTTTACACGCCCACTAATACACATATTTAAAAATAAAGAAAAATCATGGACAAAGTGGAAAAAATCTTCTAACCAAGTAGATTATGAGGAATACTCTGTACTTCGAAAAAAGATTTAAACAACTTTCCGCGCAGTGCTTTAATTCATATTTAAGTAAAATTGAAACAAGTTTACAGAAAGACATCAAAGTATTTGGTCTTTTGTAAAAAATAAAAAAAAATGTGGTATTCCCAACGTAATGTCTCACGATGGAAATGAAACCGATAATCCTGAGGACATATGTGAATTTTTTTCTAACTATTTTACTTCAGTTTATGAGAACAGCTCACTGATGACGTACGACATAGATTCACTTCCTTGCTCATCAAACACTAACTTTATTATCTCAGATATATCATTTTCAAAAAACAATAGAACAATGTCTAAAAAAACTTAGATATAACTAAAAGTTCAGGACCAGACGGTATCCCACCTTTTTTCCTCAAACATACTGCTAGCTCAATAAGCGTACTTCTGTTCTATTTGTATAACCGCAGTTTGCGTGAAGGTTTAGTGCCCACAGTCTGGAAATCTGCGAATATAACCCCAGTGTTTAAAAACGGTTCTAAAACTGACGTGACTAATTATAGACCTATTTCCTTACTTTCTGCCTTATCAAAAGTCCTTGAACGCTTAGTACATAATTCAATTTATCCAAGTTTACACAACTTACTAATTCCAGAACATGGTTTCGTAAAACACCGATCGACCATCAGTAATCTTATTTTATATACAAACTTTCTGTTTGATAATATGGACAATCGAATACAAACTGATACCGTTTACACAGACTTTTGTAAAGCTTTTGATAAAGTGGATCATTCCATCCTTCTTCAAAAACTTGCGTTCAATGGTATACGTGGAAACTTATTGCGGTGGTTCTCTTCATACATTATTAATAGGACCCAAAAAGTTGTGGTCAATGGATTCTCCTCTAGCGAAAAATTAGTATCCTCAGGTGTACCACAGGGATCTATACTAGGTCCGATGCTCTTCACATTGTATATAAATGATATTCAGTCTTGTTTTATAAATAGTAATTTTTTGTTGTATGCAGATGACCTGAAAGTTTATCGAAGTGTAAAGTCCCTTAATGATTGTGAGAAGCTACAGGAAGATCTTGACCGGTTATCTAACTACTGTCTAATCAATAAACTGCAATTAAGCATCCCTAAATGTAAATCTATTGCTTTCACCAAAAACGTAAAAACCTACAATTACATATATTCCCTTCATAACAGTCCCTTGGAAAAAGTATCATTAATAAAAGATTTAGGCATCCTTTTTCAAATCTAACCTTTAATGCTCATATCAGCCATGTAACAAATAAAGCGTATCAAATGTACGGAATTGTTGCACGAACGTGTAATTTTTTTAAAAGCTCCTCATCTTATTTACTACTTTTCAAATCACTTATTGACCACAAATTGAATATGCAACGCAAGTATGGAACCCCTATTATAATAAATACGGTGAACTTCTAGAATCATTACAAACAAAGTTTCTTCGTTTTATAAATTATAAATGTTACCACGCTAAATCATCGTATCGTAACTTATTAAAAAAGTTTTCAATTCATACTTTAAAAGCAAGAAGAATATACTTTGATCTGATACTATTATTCAAAATAATTCGAAATGATTTAGATTGTAGTGAACTACTTAACAAAATATATATCCGTGTCCCTAGTCGTTCTCAACGCATTAGAGACGTGTATACACATAAATTGTTTGCGCCTAAACTATGTAAAACCAATACAGGTGAACGCGCCCCATTAAGACGTATTATAAAAGTATATAACATGCATTTTTCAAATATTGATCTATTCACTTCCTCACAGTTACAATTTCGCAAGAACATTCTAAGAAAGTTGGTAGATATTCAATAGTATCTTTAAATATTTTACAAGATAAATTTGTACTGCTAGCAATTTTTTTAATTATTTTTTTTCCTTTTGTCTAATAAAATGTTATTTGGTTTAAGCATTATTATTTAATTGTTTGTTGTCCTGAATAAATTAAAAAAAATGTCCGGATCTTCCTGCTGTGCATGTCGTAGGCTGTCCTTCCACCCGTTGCTGAGGTGGTCTGTCCTGAGCATCCTCACGGATACCACTTCCTTACTCTCTTGCCTACTACAATGGTTGCAACCTTCAGGACAAGGTCTTCTTGACAATGCATCTGCGTTGCCGTGAGATTTCCCGCTGCAGTGTCTGATAGTAAAGTCGTATTCCTGCTGCTGCTGGGCGGTGCTGTTAGCCGCACTTCCTTTCTGAGACCGTTCACCTTCCCATCCTATGGTGTGCTTAGGGCAGCTGGACCGAAGATGGCCCCTTTCCCCACAGCCATAGCACCTAGGGCTGTATCTTTTATTGTGGTCGCGAACCATAACTGCTGTAACCTCCCTAGCGTGAGGTGAACGATGATCCTGTCGCCGCCAGGCAGTGCCGTTAGCTGCACTACCCTCTCGAGATCGATCAACTCTCCTTTCCACGGTTCGCTTAGGGCAGCTGGATCGAAGATGGCCTTTTTCCCCATAGCCATAGCACCTAGAGCAGTATCCTCTGTTGCGGTCGCGAACTGTAGCTGCTGCAACCTCCCTGACGCGATGGGAACGATGATCCTGCCGCACGGCTTCCACCTCCAGTGCATGCGCCAAGGCGTTCTTAAGCATCTCGTGGTGCCCGAGCCTCACAGCAGCTCTGACTTCCAGGTCGCGGATGCCGTCGATGAATGTCTGCACCAGGTTCCCTTCAATGAGCGCAGGTACAGACCGGTATGCTGTCCGCACCAGCTTCTCCACCTCTAGAGCCCACTGCTGCAGGTTTTCGTTGATGCGCTGCACGCGATCTTTAAGCTGCGCACGAAAGACATGTTCCAGGTGAGCGTCGCCATATCTCGCCTCCAATGCCTCAAGGAGTTGCTCATAAGCCACTTTCTTACCGAGAGCTTCCAACACGGTTAAGGCTTGGTCGCGCGGGCCTAAGGTGAGTGCAGTCATGGCCTGGCTTTTATTCCAGCCGTTTGCCTCCATGTCGGCCTCGAACTGGATTTTGTAGGCCGACCAGGAAGAAGTCCCGTCGAACGGCGGCACTTTGAATCCACGTAGCGAAGGTGCTGTAGCTACCACGGGAGCTGTAATTCCATCCCCAAGTTTGGGGTCGTTCAGCGTTTTCTTCACGTCAGCCATCACGTTGTGAACCCGATTGTTTACATGGTTCATTCGGGTTTCATGTTCTTCGATTCGGGTTTCAGCTTCCAACAGGCGGTTGTCATGTTGAGCAACCCTATCCTTCACCTCCCTTATCTCTTTCGCAAAGGTAGCGTCAAGGTCCTTCATGAAGAGCATCTGTTCCTCCTGTCGGCGGGCCTGTTCCTCTTGTCCGCTCTGCAGCTGCTCTTTCAACTGACGGACCTGTTCCTCCTGTCGGCGAGCCTGCTCCTCCTGTCGGCGAGCCTGCTCCTCCTGTCGGCGGGCCTGCTCCTGCAGCATCACCATCAGAGCACCTAAGTCAGGTGCTGCAGATGTAGGAGCTACCGACGGGCCTGCAGCCGGTGGCTGGCCCTCCGACGTCTGCGGCGTTGCACCACCAAATCTTCGTTGGTCCGTCTCCTGCTGGCGTTGACTTCGGGTACGGACCCCCTCCGTTTCCTCCTTAGGTAAAATCGGCATTATTTTATCCCACTTCTGACACCAATTGTTACGAGCTTGAGGTTCGTGACAATAAAAATTGCCGATAAAATTACCTAAATTAACACTTTAATTTACTTTACACAAATTAAAACTTAAAACACTAATAATTAAACACACTAATTCACTTTATTCCGCTCCGAAGCTTCAATTGTCTCGCCAAATCCAATACTGCCCCGATCGCATCTTGCAGCGCCTATATATACAAATTAGCAACGAAGCATCCGGAATATTCAAGTAAATGCGCGCAAAGCGACGAGTGTTCGAGTGTAGATTTTCTAGAAACTTAGTTCTTCGGTTCGAGACTAGATGGCGCTATTGCCGTCGACTTGAGCACGTAACAGTATCATAGTAGCACGCTACTAAGACGCCAGTGGACAAAACTCCACTTATCATAGCGCTAATGCACTAAGACATGAAGTTTAGTATGCTGGTTACACTTAAAAGTGCTACCAAACACACTCATCCCAATCCAAAAGATAGATGACGCATCGCTATGCGCTACGACGTCGGCCACCAACGGTATGGGTGTGCGATGTCCACGGGAAAGCCGTATTGCTACAACAAACCCGCTTACCACCAGCACTAGGATGATATGTCTAGGACACATCGGTTAGCGAGTCCAAGTTTACCTCGGACCAATTGCTCGTGAAGCAGCATACACGCCACCATAATATTCCTTTTCAAGTTCCTAATAAGGACTAGTCATTTTGCTACAATACTAGGAGCATTCGGTTACCCGACCACCCCACACAATGCTTATGCATCAAGGAGACCTCCTATAATATTGCTTTTGTATCATAGACCTTACTTTCATAAGTCATGCATATATAGGATTCGAACCCATGACCCTACTATTGTAATGCATATTAATCATAGAGACCTTCTATAGTATTGCTTTTGTATCATAGACCTTACTTTCATAAGTCATTAATATATAGGGTTCGAACCCACGACCCTACTATTGTAATGCGTATTCATCATAGAGACCTTCTATAGTATTGCTTTTGTATCATTGAGTTTATTATCACAAGTCCCTAATATAGGACTAGTCATTGTGCTACAGTACTTCAGGCAGTCGGGCTTCCGACCACCCCATACCCATATATATGTACAACTGCAGGTACGTATCTCCGGCAGCTCCTCCATACAAGACATCTTGATACATGAACACCTTCCATAACTTAGGAAAATTTTCTTTTATACGTGAATTCCTTCCAAGACTTAGACCATTTTTAACAAATTTTCTAATTATCTTATAAATGTTATTTATCTATATGTTTATAATATTTTCGACTTGTATTTCTATTATTTATCATATTTTAATTATTTTTCCAAGTTTTTAAATAAAAATGTATTTATTATGAAAGACAATATTTTGCCTTTAATTTACTATGTTATTGGTCTAATGTCTGAAATATAATTATATTAACTTTATGTTTATTAATGTAATTTTACTGTTTAATACATTTCTTTTAAGACTATTTTTGACGCCCCGTTATATTGAATTTAATTATTAATAATAACATTGGGCCGTCACACTGGCTTACGGATGATGACCACGTGTGCAGTTTTCCACTGCTTGGGAAAATACGCCAATTTCAAGCACTTGTTGGCTATCGATAAGAATACCTTCCTGTTGCAGTTTATTGCAGCGGAGCAGATGTCAGCTGTTAGCCCCTCTGGTCCAGGGGCCTTTTTGGGGTTTAGTGTTTGTAACACTGATTCAAGCTCCGCTTCTGCAAAAGATGGGTCATCTTCTGACAAACTTAGGTCTTTGTTAATTTCCGTCAGCTCTCGTATTTTGGTGTGGTATGGCTGATTTGTTTCCACACTGACGACTGGTCAGGGTAAAATGTTTTGGCCAAGAGTTCTGCCGACTCTTCTGGTGTCAGAGTTTCCCCTTGGATGTTTCTTAGGATAATGTCCTCATATCTTCTTGAGGATTTTCGGATAACTCTGTAAATTTTATCCCACATGCTCCCCCCTTTCCTGTGTCGTGCAGAATTCTTTCCAGCTTTCGGTTTGAGCCTCCTCAACTTTTGTGGTGTATTGTTGTTTGAAACTTATGTATTCGTCTATTACGTGTTGTCTTCGACTTGGTGCCGCATTTCTAATACGTCTTTTTGTCCTATGGACTTCTTTTTTGAGTTGGTTGAGGGATTTTGACCACCATGGGAGCGTTGCATTCACCCCCCTCATGCCCACTTCGGAATAGTCTCATCACAAGATTCCTGGATTGCTTTTGTGTAGGCTATTGTGATGGATTCCAGATCGTCATCGATTTCCGCCTCCTCAATTAGTGTGGGAGTTATGGCTCTTTCTTTTAGAAGGGATCTAAAGCGTGTTGAGAAGTCCGACCAGTTTGCCTTTCTGGTGTTGTATTTGCGCGTTATACAGGGCCGTAATTGTGTCAAGACCGCTTTGGTGCGCAGTGTAAACATAATCGCGTTGTGGTCTGATGTAATTAGGCTTCTCTCCACTCTCCAGTCCTCCACATTGCCGAGAAGTGACGAACTGCAAGCAGTGACGTCTACTATGCTCGAACAAATTCTTCCCCTTCTGTATGTTTCGAAGGTAGGCGTGTCACCCGTGTTGAGAATATGGAGATCCATTTCATTGAGGAAGGTGTTACATGCCGCGCCTTTTTCATCTTCGGAATTACTTCCCCACCATCGGCTCCAAGCATTTATGTCTCCAGCCACTATGATGTTATTTGTGTGAAGTTTTGCGCAAGCTGATTGGATTCGCCTAAGGTAGGGATCTTGCTCTCCCTCGAGGTAAACTGACACGACTCCCAGTTTTAAATTTCCTGCAATGAGAAGTACTGCCGCTTCTGTTGCGGTAACCAGCTGTGGATCATGGATGATCTCCAGCTGGTCTCCAAAGATCAGCACTGCGGCCTTTACTGGTTTTTGTCTATTCAGGCTGCATTGAACTACTCTCGTGCCGGGATGTTCTGTAATAACGCCATTTTTTCCCACATAGGGTTCTATGTTCTATGTTCCTGTACTATAGCAATCGACACTCCTTTATCCGGTGCAACCTGAAGTAGTTCCGCCGTTGCTACCCTGGAGCGTTGCAAGTTCACCTGAATGATTTTGAGGTCTGACCTACTAATGTTGGAGTTGATATTATTTTGATTGCCCTTAGCAGTAAGATATGCGGGACCGTGCTATTGCATCCCCCTTCTGCTTTTCCCGGCAATCAAAGCTAAAAGCGTTGTGTGCCAGGTCCGTATCGGCACCGTGCGCTTTGAGGCAATTTTTACATCAGAGGGATCTCCCCTCCAGTCTGATCGGGCATTTGTCCCATGAATGAGTCTCCGCAGTGACTGCAGAGTTCCTCCTTTTCATGGCACACTGCTATTGTGTGGCCAAAACCGAGGCATTTTGTGCATTGCACAAGGGGAGAGTGATCCTTTATTCGTCTTTTTTGGAGGCCGATGTAAATTTTTCCCGCATCAATGAAGCGCCTGTGCACTTTTGGAGAGAGCTCAAGTACAGGATGGCACTCTTGTGGATTCCTCGCCTTTTTCCTGTATCGAACTCTGACTGTTCACTCTTTCTCATCGACGTCATGCAGAAGGTGTTTGTTCTGCGCCAGTATATTTTCAACGATTTCGACGTCTGTGTGATACGATAGCACGTCCCTAATTATCGCCAGGATTGTTTGTTCTGGCAACCTCTACTTTTAAACTTTTATTTGTCTTTACTCTGTTTTGGACAAGGTTAAGATCCTCCTTAGTGTTACAACTGAGGACGACTTTTTGGTTTTTCGCCTTCCTTACCCTATCTACTTTAGCTCCAGTTTTTTTTGTGTCTAGAGCCTCCCTGATTCTCTCAATAACGTTTTCGGCTGTGTTTTTGGAATCAGTTGATGTAATTATGAGAGTGTGATTGGGTTTAGGAAGGGGAGGGCTTGCAGCCACTCTGGCGTGTCTTTTTTGGCTTTGTTGCTGCTTCGCCAGTTTGTGCAAGCTCTGTTGCTAGACTTGGGGCTGTAGGTGATGGAACTCGTTGCTTCTGTTCTCTCATCGTCCTTAGCTCGGATGACATTGCACCTAAGTGTTCTTTTATAGGTTGAAGATGTTCCCTTATGCTGGTTTGGAATATTTTACTGGAGTCCGCTGAAGGTAAGATTGAAAGTCCAGATCTGATACTTGTATCTATCTCCTTCAGCGAACTCTTCATTCCATTCAGCTCCTGTTCCAACTTTTTATTTATTTCCTCTGAGGGGTGGAATGGTGGTGACTCCAGGCGTAACAGGGTTTATTGGCTGGTCTTGAGAACCTCCTTGGTGTTCAACATCAAGCCGATTCTGGGATGGATGAAGGCCCGTGCTACCAAGCCTAAGTGGAGGGACGTCTCAGCGATGAGTTCAACCACGAAAAGCTATTGGGCCCAATGGGACAGCTTGCTGCTTCAGGATGGAGTCCTGTGCCGTAAATGGGACAATGGTCGAGGAGACAGCTGTCGTTTGCAAATGGTTGTCCCTAAAGCTAAAGTGCCGAATGTTCTACAGCTGTGCCATAATGGTCGTTCAAGAGTCCATCTGAGAGTTAAATGAACTCTACTGAAGGTCCGAGAACAGTTTTACTGGGTCCATTATCGTGACGATGTCGAGGATTGGTGTCGTACATGTACAAATTGTGCGGCTGTGAGGGGGCCTCAGACACGGAGTAGAGGAGCATCGAAATTGTACAATGTTGGTGCACCACGGGATAGGACATCCCTTGACATTGCGGAGCCGTTACAGAAAGGTGCAAAGGGGACTCCTAAGAGTGTCCATGTGGATCGCTTGGCGCGTTATTATGGGGCCGATAATGCTCGGGACGAGCATGTCTTAGGAGGGGGCAGTGTTACGCGCTCAAGTCGACGGTACTAGCGCCATCTAGTCTCGAACCGAAGAACTATGTTTCTGGAAAATCTACACTCGAATACTCGTCGCTTTGCGCGCATTTACTTGAATATTCCGGATGCTTCATTGCTAATTTGTATATATAGGCGCTGCAAGATGCGATCGGGGCAGTATTGGATTTGGCGAGACAAGCGAAGCTTCGGAGCGGAATAAAGTGAATTAGTGTGTTTAATTATTAGTGTTTTAAGTTTTAATTTGTGTAAATTATAGTAAATTAAAGTGTTAATTTAGGTAATTTTATCGGCAATTTTTATTATCACGAACCTCAAGCTCGTAACAATACGTTGGTGCAGTTTTATATAACAACATTCTTAGTGCCGGTGGTAAGCGGGTTTGTTGTAGCAATACGGCTTTCCCGTGGACATCGCACACCCATACCGTTTGTGGGCGGCGTAGTAGCGCATAGCGATGCGTCGTCTATATTTCGGATTGGGATGATGAGTGTGTTTGGTAGCATTTTTAAGTGTAACAGGCATCCTCAACTTCATGTCTTAGTGCATTAGCGCTATGATACGTGGAGTTTTGTTCATTGGCGTCTTAGTAGCGTGCTACTATGATACGTTGGTGATATTTTTTATATAACAACAATACAAACTTTGTTACCAAAGTCGATAGGGATCATGTGGGTGTGTTGTGAGGGGGGCGCCATCCGTATGATAGTTGCATTGATGCTTACTGCTACTTGTGGTATTGCGTCTTGTGATGGATCTGCGGGTATGCTGCGCCTGATTCGACGCATTCTTGTGGTTCTGGTCAATGGAGGTAAACAAATAACATCTTAGTGCCGGTGGTAAGCGGGTTTGTTGTAGCAATACGGCTTTCCCGTGGACATCGCACACACATACCGTTTGTGGGCGGCGTCGTAGCGTATAGCGATGCGTCGTCTATATTTCGGATTGGGATGATGAGTGTGTTTGGTAGCATTTTTAAGTGTAACAGGCATACTCAGCTTCATGTCTTAGTGCATTAGCCCTATGATACGTGGAGTTTTGTTCATTGGCGTCTTAGTAGCGTGCTACTATGATACGTTGGTGATATTTTTTATATAACAACAATACAAACTTTGTTACCAAAGTCGATAGGGATCATGTGGGTGTGTTGTGAGGGGGCGCCATCCGTATGATAGTTGCATTGATGCTTACTGCTACTTGTGGTATTGCGTCTTGTGATGGATCTGCGGGTGTGCTGCGCCTGATTCGACGCATTCTTGTGGTTCTGGTCAATGGAGGTAAACAAATAACATCTTAGTGCCGGTGGTAAGCGGGTTTGTTGTAGCAATACGGCTTTCCCGTGGACATCGCACACACATACCGTTTGTGGGCGACGTCGTGGCGTATAGCGATGCGTCGTCTATATTTCGGATTGGGATGATGAGTGTGTTTGGTAGCATTTTTAAGTGTAACAGGCATACTCAACTTCATGTCTTAGTGCATTAGCGCTATGATACGTGGAGTTTTGTTCATTGGCGTCTTGGTAGCGTGCTACTATGATACGTTGGTGATATTTTTTTTATATAACAACAATACAAACTTTGTTACCAAAGTCGATAGGGATCATGTGGGTGTGTTTGAGGGGGCGCCATCCGTATGATAGTTGCATTGATGCTTACTGCTACTTGTGGTATTGCGTCTTGTGATGGATCTGCGGGTGTGCTGCGCCTGATTCGACGTACTCTTGTGGTTCTGGTCGATGGAGGTATACGGGTGGTGATGTCTGCTGGGATGTATGGGAGACCTTGGAATGGTGTAAGCCCGACGATAGTCGTATTGATGCTTGTTGCGTTCTGCAGCATTGCGTCTCTGCGATGGTTGTTTGGTGGGACGCTATTCTCAATGGCGCTCTCTCCGTCTTGGTTTGACTCACGCCTGAGTAGCTTTTCCCAAGTCGGGTCCCTTCATTACGGGGCTGCAGACTGTCTGCCCTGCACGATGTTTTATATAACAACATAATATTATATCTCTGTAACTTCCCACCTTTGAATGATTGAAGGCAAATTGTTGGTGGGTGAGACAAACATGATCGAAAATGCATTTCTCAACGTCAGTGACACAAACCCTTTCTGATGGCGAATTATTACTCTTATCTTATAACTGCCTTTTGGCTATATCTGCCGTTGTATTGGTTGGTGGAGCATATGTGTCGACCTCATGCGGGTGGTAGCTGGCGGGAGGATCTGAGGAGTCTCTCAAGGCTGCGGCCGAAAGCCGCACAACGTGGGACCCCATTCTCTTGAGGTGAGCGGTAGACTCATGACACGCTCTGCGGCTAGTAGCCGTGCTGATCATGCAACTGGTGGTGATGCCACACACTTACATCACGTCTGCAGGAGCGGCGGTCTGGCAGGTGGTGGCGCTCATGGAGAGTTTACGGTCAGTGTGCCTATTTGCCTAAACCGTGTGACGTACATTCACTGTGGCTGGATTCGCTCGTATTCTGTATGGCGTTTACACGCATTGACATGCGCGACTTCGGTCGATGTTTGTGCTTACGCACTAACAAGGGGCCAAGCCTCTTGTACCGGTTCGCCAGTTATTTTGCTGTGGACTACGGTCCAGTTCCCGAATTAGTGTTCCCTTCGGGGGGGAGTGCATCGAAATGGTTGGCGCTCACTGTGCCCGGAGTGTGTAGGGCCGTGTGCCTCCCCTACATTTTTAAATAAATGTAGAAGAGCGAAGCCCTTGTATCGGGTATTTTGTATAAATATATTTTGAGTCTTTTCCGAGCGGGAAGGGATAAATGATAATAAATTAATAATGTAAACCTGATACAAGTGGAATAGGGACGTTTTATGTTCTTAACCTTTCTCGAGCCCTGTCTTCGTGAACGGGGTTCACTTAGCTTATAAGGCACTACCAACAGCTTCAATGCTAGTGAATATTCATTCTTCCAAAAGGCACCTAAAAGAACTAAGTTACTAAACAAACACAACGTAAATAAGGGTCCTAACTAAGATGATCACGCCAAAATATTACAAACGGCCTATTATTAAACCTATAGAAAGTTCATTTAGAGAGATCAAAACATAATTTATTAATCCTG